CCCCATTCCAACCATGGCTCAATGTCTGTATCCCAGAACCCTGTTGTTCCAAGGTTGTGCACATATCATTATTTACCTCTGTCCCACTTAGCCCATTGAGACCTAATTGTTTTCCCACCTTTGTTCTTCCATTCCCCTCTCCTTACTTGTATATTGCCTCCTCCCCAGCACCCAAACTATCCTGTGCTCCACCTTCCCCTCCCTCCCCTACCCCCAACATCCCAACAATCAACAAAGAATCCCCCCCACCCCCTTTAGTATGGGTTCTTTCCCTTAGTCTTTTACAGGAGTGGTCCTGTGCAGTATTTCTTTTTGTGACTAATTTCACTCAACATAATGCCCTCAAGGTTCATCCATGTTATGCGGTGGCTTGCAGCTTCCTTGTTCTTCAAAGTAGCATAGTATTCCATTGTGTGTATGTATCACAGTTTGTTTATCCATTCTTCAGTTGATGGGCTATATGATGTTCTTGACGTCATCGCACAACTCTTCTGGTCTTTAGTGTTTAATGTATCAAATCTGTCCTTCAGATGATCTCTAAATTCAGGTGGGATAAGTACAAAGTTTTGGCTCTCACGGACTAGTTCAAACTGTCTTCAGCTTCACCTGAACTTAAGTATGAGCAAATGATGGTCTGTTACAGTCTGCCCCTGGCCTTGTCTTAGGTGATGATACAGAGCTTTTCCACACTGTCTTTCCACAGATGTAGTCAATTTGATTTCTGTGTATTCCTTCTGTTGAAGTCCATGTATATAATCATCTTTCATGTTGTTTAAAAAAGATATTTACAATGAATTCATTACTGTTACACAATTCTATCATGCGATCTCCAGCATCATTTCCATCACCAGCCTGTGCATTCCAATCACCAGTAATTACATCTTGCTTGCATGTTTGATTGATTTCAGACTGAGTAAGTTTGTAGAATTCTTCAGTTTCATTATCACTGGCTTTTGTGGTTGGTATGTAAATGTGAATAGTGGTATTAACTGGTCTTTCTTGTATGTGTATGGATATTATCACAGGCAGCAGTATACTTCCAGACAGATCTTGAAATGCTCTTATTGATTATGAATGTAATGCCATTCCTGGAATAATCAATCCTGTGACTGTCAGATTTTAAATGGCCAATATCAGTCCATTTCAGCTCACTAATGCCTAGAACATCGCTGTTTATGCATTCCAGTTTATTTTTGGTCACCTCTTATTTTCCTAGATTCATACTTCATATATTCCATGTTCCAGTTATTAATGGATGTTTGCAGCTCATTTTGAGTTGTGTCCCATCAGCATATTAGTGTCTCCACCGGTTTTACTCCATTCGCATTTCACAGTCAATTCTGCTTTGGGGAGGAAGCTGTTCCTCAGTCATTTTTAATGCCTTCCAATTTGACGGGTTCGTCTTCCAGCACTATATCTGACAATATTCTGGTGCTCTTCATCATGTTTCAATATTCAATATTCTGGTCCTGTCAGTGTTTCACTGCCATTCAGTTTTCAGTGGTGAAACATTCAGGAGTAGTCTGCCTTGCCTTCTTCGAGTCTGTGTTAGTCTGAAAGCTCAGCTGAAATCTGTCCACCATGGGTGATCCTACCAGTATGCAAAATACTGGTGACATAGCTTCCAGAATCACAGGGACACACAAGCCACCAGTGTGACAAACTGACAGTGGTGGAACATCATTATGTAACCTGCTATATAACAGAATCATGGCCCACCCAATTTGCCACATTTTTTGGAGGGTCATAATTCAATCCATGACAAATTCTAAGACTCTTCAAGTTTTTAGGCTGAAGTGTAAGAGTGCCTGTTAGTGGAACTGTTATGTGGAAGCAGCCTAAATGATAAAAGGCATATTATGGCAGTTCAAACCCACCACTGTTCCTTGGAACCCCCACTCAATGTTACCATGCCTCTTCAGTTTGTCATTACTGGCATAGTAAATCATGTGACTCGTTTAAAATGGTCAACTCGATGGCCTTTTTAACTACAACAACTGCTTTAAGTGCTCTCTGAGTTGTGCAAACAAGTTAACTGGCTCAGTGCTACCCAAAAGGATGAAGGTTCAAGTCCACCCAATGGTTCACCAGAAGAAAGACACAGTGATGTACTTCTGAAAAATCTACCATTGAAAACCTAAAGAGCGCAGTTCTACTCTGACACACACGGAGTCACCAGGAGTAGGAGGCTACTGACAGCAGTTGGTAATGTTTTAAGATAGCAGTGTAAGGCGTTTCCTCTTATTGAATAAAAAGTATGAATCTCAGAGCACAAGTCTTAGCTCGCCTCAACACAAGGTGGCATGCCAAGGACCTGTTCCTCGTCTTTTAGTAACTGTGGCCAGGCCCCACACCCAAGCGTCTCAGTTCCCTGCTGTTCCCTGATCGGTCACAAGTGATTACTTTCCATTACTTTCACGATGATCCAGATGTCATTGTGTCACTTTCTCTGAACAATTTGCAGAAGCTGATAGCTGAGCACACACAGCATTTTTTGTTTCCTATTTCAAATTCTCTGAGTTAGACTTTGATTTTCCTCCCATAAAAGAGAGGCTAAAATGTGTTTTGACATAGTGTGTCTTAAAAACAGCACTGTCATACAGGGGTTTCCATGAAAGGAAGTTTAATGAAAGGTAACAGTAAAGAGAATTATATTTAATGTAAGTTATTTTTTTTAAAGACCACAGAGATGTAAACATGTTTAAGGTCAGGTAATGAAGTAGTGGAAGAAAACTTATTTACAGGACAAAATAAATCATTTGTGTCCCATAAAAAGATATCTCAGTATAAGTATTTCTATTGAAACTGCAAGGTTTTTTACTTTGGAATCAAAATAATAAAGAGCCAAAAGAGAAACAAAAAGCTTTTGAGCCTTATAGACTAAGTTTCTTCTTTATGGATTTTATAGTTTTATATGTAGAGAATTGCAAGGTGATTATGTGTTCAGCAATACTACCCATGGGTTGTTTTTTATCCAGATATGGAAACTATGAGGAAAGATGCTGCTAATAACTTGTGCAGAAAGTTCTACAAATTGCAGGCGCATATCTACCTGAGCAGGAGGTTGGATTTGGCCACCGCCCACGTCTTCTGTCAGTGGCAGTCCTGTCTGCAGATGGGGGTGTATCTCAATCAGCTGCTATCCACTCCTCTCCCAGAGGCAGACCTAACTTGGTAAGCACCATGCCAAAAGGGAAACACTTTTAAAGCTAAGTTACTTTTTATAATAAATCTTAGCAAACTTACCTTGGGTCACACCGTCCTAGCTAAAGATGGGAAAAATATTATTTCTGTATTTCCAAAGGAAATAGATTTGATCCATGATTAGATCCAATAAAACTTGTTTAAAAAAACACTAATATGAGGGAAATAGAAGCTGTCGTTACCAGGATAGAACTCCTATAACTTCAACTCTTTGCTCAAGTGTCACCATATAGGGCATTTTCTGACCATTCCTAATCACTCTAGTCCTATTAACTTTTTTGTTGGTTTTTAAGTACTTCTTATCACCGGGTCTGTTAGTCACTCAGTCTCTCATTCATTCATTCATTCAGACATGGATTAAGTTCCTGCTCTGTGCTGGAGATGTAGTGAACAAACAGTAGCCCTGTTCTTCTGGAGCTGCTGTTCATAGTGAGATGACAGACACCCAAGGAGGCTTTATCCAGGCTTTTTGTTTAGCCAGGAAAGTATGAAAAAGGGAGAGGAGGCAAGGGAGGGGAGTCTGTGTCTCAGGGAGTGATGTTTGACTATGGAGTTTAAACTGGATCAGAAGCAAAAATGATAGCGGCAGGGTATAGGCCAGTGAGAAAGTTGTAGGATCAATGCATTTCTATCTGCTGATTTTCTATCCAGGAGGTAAAAGGCGGATGATTAGAGAATGGTATATTGTTGTTGTGAAGTGCCGTTGACTCGGTATATTAGAGATTGTGTATTTGTCTATCTCAGTTAGAATGCAGGAGTCCTGGTGTGGTGCTGTAGAATGAGCACTGAACTGTTAACCACAGATCGGCAGTTCAAGCGCACCCAGCTGTTCCTCAGAAACCTTATACTGGGTTGCTATGTATGAGTTAGGACCTACTAAACAACAACCACTTAACACTTAACAACTTAACAATACTTAACAACAACTAGAATGTAAGCTCTATAAAGGCAGGGATTATCTATTTACTGTGGTAGTAGTCCCTGTGCCTAGTATATAGGCTAAAGTACTCAAGTGAATAGTATTGAGACCCTCAAAATATGCTGAGATGACTTTAAATGTTTCAACGTGAAAAGCTTCCTAGCAGTAATAATGTTTTAAATGCATCTCTGGGCCTGATATATGAGCTGACCCTAGAGCCCACTTCCGAATAGGATTAATTGGCCTCTGACCTATAGATTCTTTATTTCTCTTTTTAGGTCTCCCTTGACTTGGGGCCAGTTGGAAAACCAGTTAGCATTCATCATTTAGTTTGGTGATGAAACTTTTAAACACCACCAATTATGACTCTTTATAGTAACTTAGTTCCTTCCTTCAAGGAGCAAATTATTCTTAAATAATTCTAATAATTTTTCAGAAGAAGGAGAGTTCTCAGCATGTGTGTCTCTGTTTGTTTCTATCATGTTAACAGTAGTTGCCCAGTGCTTTGAACCTAAGCTTTAACAACACACTTCTTTCTCCCTTTGACAGCTTGTATAATGGAAGCCTGGTACATGGACTATGCTGCGAACTACCATCAACCTCTGTAGAAAGTCTCCTAAGGGTGTGTCCTGAGGCAAAGCAACTTTATGATCATCTGTTCAGTGCCGTGCAGTCATGTGCCCCTCCTCAATTTTTCCTGCCAAAGCGTAGATCCAATTCAAAAAAGAAAAGGAAGAAGAAGCAACATACCAGCTGTTCAAAGAATAAAGTGGGAACCACCTTCGATACCAAGTATTGCTATCAGGGAAGCAATAGATTTAGGCTACTAATGGTTGAAAACTTGGAAGAACATATTGATGCCTTAGAGCTTGAATAAGCTCAGTCTGTAACCACATGTATAAAAAATTCTGACTTAAAATCATCATGTTACTCACCTTGAAATAATCAGCTCTTCTCTTTGCCACTAACCTGTTAGGGGATTAACAATGCAGTAACATCATCTTTGAACTCCAAGGTATTTTGTATCAATTTTAATAAATGCAACCTGATTTAAGTAACTTTTGTATTTCTTAAGCACATGTTTGAAAACATGATTGGACTCATGCACCATTTGTTATAATATTTTATAACCTTGGAATTTCAGCATTTATAACGTTTTCAGAATAGAAGTCCTACTTTCATCCTCTCCACACTAGTCCATTGTTACCATATCAAAAATTATACAAGACAGATTCCTCTTCATGGACTAATATGAGAGGTCAGGCCATGGAAGACATAAGTGAGAATGTGAGACAGAAAATTATATTCTGAAAGCAAGTACTTAGTAAATGAGACCATGGCAAAGCTGATGAGCAGTTTGGGGGTGGCACCATGTTTTAAGGCAGAAGCTGAAACTAAAGGACAAATTAAGAAACATTGTGAACTTATATAGAGAGGAGCCAATGAGAAGAAATGCAACTATCCAAGATACATACAGCAACACCTGGTTCTATGCCTTTTCACACTAAAGGTCTTGACCCACTAATGGAATTAATTTAATGGGTTATAACTAGCATTTTTAAATGGAAAAAAAAGTGATATATATATGTATGTGTATATATCAGATAATCTATATCAAGAATTAAGATTGTTGTGCAAAATATTTCATACTGTGGGTTAGAGTAAAAAAATTCACAAGACTGGGAACACCAAGGCTGCTGAAAATGTGAAACCCACAGATTTGGAAGGTGCTGATCAGTTCCAAATTAACTTGAAAAAAAAAAAAAAAAAAAAAACACACAGCAAATGAGATGACTAGATTTGGGCAAGATTTGAAAATCGATCTCAACTTTCATTCTACATATCTTCACACAAATTGTTTCTCCTGTCTCCTGTATGTTCCCAACAGCATATTCTATCAGTAACAGGCCTGATAAACAAGACTCTCCACTTCCTAAAGGAGCCCTGGTAGCATAGTAGGTTACAAGTTGGGCTTCTACCCTCAAGGTCAGCAGTTGAAATCTACCAAAATCAGATGAGTGAAACAGTAATGGGCAGTGCTTCCATGTATTGGATTTAGCTTTCAGAGACTGAACAGGTTACAAGAACACAGTGCAATATACAAGCAGTCCCTTTCGTTTCTACTAGTCTTGACATCATTTTAGGTATTTGGCTAAAAAAGCAATGTGATATACGAGGGGAGTCAAAAAGTTCATGGAAAAATGAAACTAAAAGATCATGGTATTTTCCCATAAACTTTTTGAAGTCCCCTTGTATAACATATATAATGAGAGAGGCATAGAGACAGGCAGCTACATAGAATCCTGTATTTTTAAATTTCATCTTGCCACAAATCTTTGAAGCCCCCTCATATGCATTTATATGTTGGTGTGTGTTTGTGTTTAAAAAACAATTTTGAGTTTCACTTTGGGGACACTTGGCAACTTCTATGCACAATATAACCTACTGTCATTAGAATCAGGGAATTTAAGAATATTTTTTGAAAACAAAAGCTGATGCTAACTTGTACAATGATCAAATTTGCAACAGAAAACATTAGACTGTACCAATATTAAGATTTTCATTATTTACAGAACTCAAATCATTTGACTCAGAAAGAAACTACCATCCTGTGAGGTATCACTGAAGAGTAGGAAAACTTTTCACGTGTCTTTTTACATATGTTGAATATCATCAAGTTGGTTCTGTATAGGGTTTCCAATGTACAGCAGGTGGGTTTGAACCGCTCACCTTGAGGTTAGGACACTAGTGCTTATCCTACATTGCCACATCAGGACTCCTTTTCACACATAAGTCTTTTTTGGAGGATTAAGTGAGGTGCTGGTACTTGCATGTGGATAACTGCCATGTGGCTAGGCATTACTCTCCCCTGGTCACCTGTCTGGTTCATGTGTGACAAAGTAAGTAAAAGTAAGCCTTAGGACATTGACATGGAAAAGAAAACAGAAATCGACCTTGCATGGTGGATCACACATTATCGTCACAGCAACACATCCTATATAGTTCATGATACAGGATCATGTGGATTGATTCCTGTCAAATAAGCAAACAGTTCCCAGTTAAATAGACATTACTATTCTGAAATGAAACCTGTAAATGTAGCAATCAGAACTGCCATGAATGATGGCTAAAATCACTATTGGAGTACATTATTTGTATGCCTTTATTAAGACCACTGGCAGGAACTCTCTTTCCAACTTTCCTATTGTCAGTCACAAGTTAGACAGGCTTGGGAAAGTCCACGGTTGTGTTGTAGATACGTTAAGTTTTACTTTTCTTTTAGGGAGGTTCAGAGATGACATCTGTTAGGCAGATGGATATACGGGGGGGAGGGGGAAGGCTTCAAAATGTATGTGAAAATTCTATTATATTGTAATTCCATTTTTCCACAAACTTTTTGTAGCACCCCCATAAAGATGACGAGAGAGACAATCTAAAGAAAGTGGTGTAGAACTCTTAACGAGTCAGGAAGACTAAAGCCAAAAAAAAAGAGCCTAAGTCAATTAAAAGATGATCTTTGTAATGCTACAAGTAGAGAGAACAAGAAAGGATTGACCCCCCTCTCCTGTTTTTAAGGAGGCTCACAGATTGCTGGTGCTGCACTGTAGGGTCAGCACTGGACTTTGAACCAGAAGGTCAGCCATCAAATCCAACAACTGCTCCTTGGAAACCACGTAACAGTTAACACCAACCTTTAAAGGGTTGAACAAACACGATTAACAGGGAATTCAAACATAAAATACGAGGGGAGTTTTAAAAAAATCTACGGAAAAAGGTTATTAAGAGATAATAGAATTTCTCCACAAACATTTTGAAGCCTCCTACCCCCTTCCTGGTGTGGAGCTGTGGGTTAATGTGCCAGACTGCAAAGCCATTTGAACTGTAATGTCGGCAGTTCAAGCTCACCAGCTGCTTATTGGAAACCCTATACAGGATCACTATGGGTCGGAACCGACTCAACAGCACTTCACAACAACAAAAACACTCCCTTCCAGGCCCTTATATATCTGGCATGTACAGAGACGTCAGGGATAAAGATTATATTAAAACCTTGCCATCTATGGTCTGCAATGAGCATGATGTATTATAATCAGAGGAAGGTTTAACATTAACGCCTTTGGAAAGGATGGCTTCAATAGAGCAAGTTCCAACTTTGCCCTGCCTTGCCACAAAACAAGACAGGTAAAAATGGGAGGACGGGTAGTCTTCAGTGCTGAAATCTGGGAATGGTGACATTACAAATTCACGTTGCTAATCACAAAGTACCACAGACTTTCTGTCTAGTTCCTACGCAAGATGTTTGTTTAAAGCCAATCTAATAAGACACTGGCCGTATTATGGTAACCATAATCTATGTTGTAAAGAAGCAAATCATAGACAAACATGGTGAACTATAAAAGGAATTCACTTGGAAATAGTACAATAACTTTATTTTCAGAATTATGAAAAATATTATGCAATTGTTTTGGTGTAGAATGTTCTCTTGCAAGAAAATCAGTTAAAAAGTTCATTGTATTGAGGTTTCTACTATTACTAAGCATTATCATCCCTAAGCAAGATGCTATACATTACCTACTAAGGTGAAGCTGAAATGGTAACAACCCAGTTTCTACTGAAATAATAGAATATTGGAAGTAATATAAAATGGAAGTAGGACTCCTACTCTGGAAGAAGCAAAGAGACCAGTGAGGAGCTGACTGACTTTCTTACAGATAGAAACCTAGGTGAACAGAAAGAAAGAAACACAAAGAGAGGACACAAAAAATCAGATGAGACAGCAAGTCATCTGTATGAACAAGGGGTCCAACACCATACCCTCCCTGTTGATGATCTAAGAGCACACCAAGATATTCTCCACTTAGGAGCCTGGTGGACCCTAAGAGGCATCAATGATACCAAATCTGCAAACAAGTTAATCTATCCCAAGAAACACCATGGGTTAAGAAAATTGATGCCACTTCCTTTCTGGTCCACTGACTGTAATGGGCCTACTTTCCCTTTTACAAATATCATAATGAGGGGCCCATAATTTTTTTTATGTAAAGAACCAGTGATTAATCATTTTAGGTTTTGTGGATCATATGGTTTTTGTTACAACTGTTCATCTCTATTGTGTAGCATGAAAGCAGAAACAGACAGTATATAAATGAGTATGTTTGCCAATATCACAATAAAACTTTATTAAAAACAGGTAGCTGGCCAGATTTAGTTTAGGAGCTGTAGCCTGCCAACCCCCAAACCCAATCAGTACTTAGATGTAGGTGAGTTAGAGAGCATTGAAATAAATTATTTCAATAACTTGTCGTACCTCTAGCTAATTCCTCAGCCAGCCATACTAGCTCCAAGTACAAAGATAGTAAAAAACATACTTATACTATGAAACCATATGGATAGATATGAGAAAGGACCAAAATGAAAAACTACTCATTTATAACTCTCTAAAATGTATCTGAGGAACTCTGTTATCTTAGTGGGTTACTAACCACACGGTCAGTAGTTTGAAACCAGCCAATCCACGAAAGAAAGATGAGAATTCCACTTCTGTAAAGATTTACAGCCTCAGAAACCCTATCTAGGGTCGCTAAGTTGGAACTGACTCCACAGCACATCACCATCAAAATTTACCTAATACTGCTTAGTTTATTTTACCTTCCCTTGTTATACACACATTCTCTACAAAACCACCTACTTGTTTAGCTTCAAAGATAAAGTTTTTAGAACTCACCAAGACATTTCATAATATGCTTTCAAGATGCAGACAGTGAAAAATGGCAACTGGTCAAGACATTATGTATTTTCCTTCTGACCAGAAGAGGGCACCAAATAGTCAATTCTCAGTTTAGAGCCACTCCAACCTCTAAATATCATAGAAAAGAT